ATAATAATAATAATAATATAATTAAAATGGTTCACGAGGCACACAAACGAGCAGCTCGTGGGTAATGTAATTCAATAGCATAACGTGACTTGCAGATTCTCCAAGTGATTTACACCTTTTTATGTTGCAGATAGTAGTCAGACACAGTCCAATTGGCAATAAAACAATATAATTTAATTATAAATAGATGTATAATGTTAAGAACTTAGAGGTATTTAGGATAAATGAATGTAGTTTCATGTTACAATTTGAAGTCATTTTAGAAAGAAAAAGGGTAATTTAGGTTTATTTCGATTTTTATTTGGTGGTTACGAGGTCGGTCGAATTAAGTGATCCCGTTTTGAGATACGGTAGAGAAAATAACAGATAAACTATAAAGTTTTACTGAAAAAAAACGTTTGAAATGCATTTGGGAGGTTTCAGGGATTACGCAAAGGAAATTTGAAATTTTTGAGATGAGGAAAAGTATTTTTAATTTTAACATGAAAACTAATTTGCACATAGACTATTCAAAACAAATACTCAATATATTCATGGGCAAATCTTTATTTTATTAAAAATGCTTCACTAAAAATATGATTTTTTGTATGTGAAAAACTTGTAATGTTAACTGAAAGACTGCCAAATTTTGTGAAGATATACATACTATATTGAGAGTTATAAGTATTAAATCTATAAAGACTTTAAATGAGTACAAACAGGTAACATGGTCAGTCAAATTGAAATGTGATGCTCTCCAAGAATTATCTGAATTGAGTTTGGACTTACAAAAGCGCGATATAGACTTCTAAAAGGCGATTCAAAAGATAAAATCTCTTGTAAAAAAATTTTTGAAGAAAGACGAATGATTCTAGGCCCATATTATAAAAAATGCTACCGAAGCCACCAAAAATCTTCATTTCCGATGAGTTTCACATCTGAACAAAGATTGCAAAAAGGACCCTCTGATTAATCCGGAAGCTTTTTACAGAACCTTGAAAAATCGATTGAAAATAGGTTGCCTGATAGTGAAGATGGCAATATAGCACAGTGTGCATGAATTTGATTGTCACCCGAACCAGAGATTCATTGATGACAAAAAACCGTTTCAGCACTTTTGTTTATTAAACTTGTTGGACCGCCCCTTCCACGCATTGACTCAAAAAAATACATAGAGTCATGGTTGCTCCAAAAATGTCACTCAGCAATAGACACCAAAAGAAAGGAATGAAGTCATGATATTGCATCAGTTGAGAACATGATGAAAATTTGGAATTTTCTATAAAAAGGTAATTCAATATGTTTTCATCTCTTAATTTCTTATATGTATGTATGTATATATATATATATATGAGTATCAACACCTTTTTGTTTTAACAAAAAAAAGCACTGGTCATAACTGTCTCCAAATTATTTAACATAACATAATGTTTAGGGACAACAAGGGACTTATTGATCCATTTTGGCTGTCCCATCCTTTAAACTAAAGTAAAACTATTAGATAAAAATCTTAAAACCAGCCCTTATACTTCATATTGTTCTTAAGCTTTCTCTTAAACTCACTTAAATTTACTGCCTCCACAACATCTGAAGGCAACCATTTCAAAGGCCAACCACCCTGTTAGAAAAATAAAACTGTCTTACCTTGCCAAAATTTATATTTGTGTCCTCTAGTCCTACTATTCTCACCTTTAAATATGAAAAAAGATGATGCATCAACACTGTCAATTCCATTTACAATCTTAAACATCTCAATCAGATCCCCTATAACTATTCTTTTATTAAGAAAAAACAATTTCAAAGATATTAATATCTCCTCACTTGATAAACCCTCCAACCCAGGCATCATTCTAGTAACCCTCCTCTGAACCCTTTCCCACAATTCAATGTCCTTCCTAAGGTAAGGAGCTCAAGACTGAATCCAACACTCCAAATGTGGCCTAGACAATGAACTATACAATAAAAGTATAACCTCTTTAGTCTTGTATTCAATATTTCTATAGATAATACCTAAAATCCTATTTGCCCTACCACTAGCAACAGCACACTGCTTGGATGACTTAAGAGAGTAATCAACCATTATTCCAAAATCCCTTTCTTTCATACCACTGTTAAGGTTATTCCCATCCAAATTATACTTATAATTCAAATTATGATAGCCCACATGCATTATCTTGCATTTATAATAATTAAAACCCATCTGCCATTTATTTGCCCAACTCAGTAAATAATCTAAATCCTTTTGTAACGCTGCAGCAGCATCTTCTTCACAGCTAGCAATACCCAAGACCTTAATATCATTAGCAAATTTAAATAATTTATTGGCCATTCCTTCATCTATGTCATTGATGTAAATCAAAAAGAGCAAAGGTCCTAAGACTGAGCCTTTAGGTACCTCATTTGTGACATTAATCCAATTTGACTGAACTGCATTTATAACAACTTTCTGCTTTCTTCCATCCAGCCACTCTTCAATCCAATTAGCTGACCCACACCTTCAGAGATAAATTTTTTACACGCCTTTTATGTGACACCTTGTCAAAGGCTTTCTGAAAATCTAGATGTACCAAATCTACACCATTACCCTCATCTAAATAAGCAGTAACCTTTTCAAAGGTAACCTTAAACTACAAATGTTGTTAATTATTTTTGAAGTATTTATACTGAAGATGGTGTTAGTAAAATTCTGAAATGTGCAAGATCATCCTATCAACAATTTTATGATTTTAGACTTCTGCCAAACAAATCTTGATCATATTTTACACCAACAATAGTCATGTGATACCTGTTTTCTTGCAGTTGGAGGTTTATAGTTCAAAACCCATTATTTATCTGTGTTACCAAGTCAATGCATTTTTCATTTCATGAGTCACTTTTTACAGACCATTTTTCAAAAAACAAATGTCTTGGCTTGACAATAATAAAAATAGGGATATGGGAATGAAGGAGTTAAACTTTCAAAGAATTTCCAGGATCTCATGAAAAAAAAACACTGATTTTCCAGGCTTTCCAATACCAAAATGTTTATTCCAAAGTTCCAGAATATTCATGACCAGTGTGAACCCTGCATTCACATAAAGATGAAAATCAAGAACACACATTTTTAATGGAAAATCTTATTATTCAATACTCTAGGTTACCTAATTTATGACTATTTACTTAAAATTCACAAACCTGATAATTTTGACTGCCAATGATAAACTAATATACAGCTCTCTATATACACAAGTTTCTCCCTTCAATTTATAATACAAAACCCACATTTTCTGTAACAGACCTAAAAATAGTAGCCAATAAACAGATATTATCTGATTTAAATTAAACTACTCAACTGATATAGAAGCATTTGATAACAGAAAATTTAACATTAAAAACACAATTATGAATGAAGAGTCCATAATGTTTACTAAATTTTTCACACAAACTAAAAATTAACTGGCTATTCAAACATACCAAAAAAATAACAGAAATGTTTAATAATTCACAAAGCCTTGCACAATTCTCACCTCCATATCTAGCATTCTAAAGGAAGAACAAAGTAAAAACAAAATCTACAGCCTAGTCTTAAATCATAAACAGTTACAATTTAAAAAAAAGAAAGAAACAAATGATCAACTAAAAGGTTGATTCATTAAATTTCACTCAATCATTGGTTACTATGTAAACCTCACAAAATTAAAATAATGTTTGTTCTTAACACTGTTTTGATTTCTAGAATAACTTAAGAGAACTGTAATTGTTGCTCACAGTGCTCAGTGTTAATAGCTAACTGTTGTGAAAAATACAAATCCACAGTAGTATCAGAGATCTCTAACACACAACAAGCTTAACATTATATATATGTTACTATGTTGGTAAACTGGATCTAATTGATACAGTACACAAGTTTTCTTACAAAATTAGAAAATGCTATGCCCAGACCTATATAATACCCAAATGAGTAAATAATCATTAAAAACTTTTTAGTGACACATCAGGCAAAATTAAGTTTAAAACACAACAGATTAAAATAATTTAATTAAAACCAAATGGTTAAAAAAACATGCCAAATGTATCAAAACAGTCTAGTGTCTTCCTCCATGACTACTTTATGTTGTGATCTCTTGTAGGTGATTAAATACTATTATGATAGTAATATGTGGCAATTGGATGATACAGTTGCACTGGTAATGACGCTAATGTGATTTTGGTCTTCTAGGATATACCATGTCTCTTGGGTTTGGCTATAGCTTTAAAATTTTTCCAATCTAGAATGTGATTTTGTATAAGAATGTGCCGTGCTTAAGCATCACTCTGCCAGAACTTATTGTCATTTGTTCTTCAATATGACATGTCTCACCATAATATAGATTTCATGAGAGTTTTTATAAGGAATTTTACCTACACTACTAATTCTATTTTTGGGTTGGACTAAGATGTGACTTAAAGTTGTGCAAGGTCAATAAACAGTTATAACAATAATTTTATCTGTGTCTTTTAACCTGTTTAGAAATTCCTTTAATAGTTTCAATAGATTTTAAAATTCCTTTTTTTTATTTGTTATTTTGTTTTGTTCAATAAATTGGTTTGGATACTCATTATCTTTCAAGACCATTAGGTTATGCTAATTTTCTTTAACCTGATCTGATTCATTTGAATAAAAATTTTGAGAAATTGTCATTAGCATTTTAATAACCACAGCTTTGTGTGAAGTAAAATTAAGGTATTTTTCTACACTTGGAGGTTGACAATATATAGTGGTAGTTAAAGTTTCATTTTCTTCTCCATAAACCAAAATATCTAAGAATATCATGATTCTCTCTCTGCTGTGAATATAAAATATGATTATAATATTATTGAGGTGACACCAAAAAATTTGATTTTTGTTTTATCCAGAATGGTGAAAGTGTCATCCACATACCTTTTAATTCTGTATAAGAAGTCCTTCAAGTTTTTCATTTCTTAAGATTCCATAACTAAGTCTACTACAATCATTGAAATTGGAAAGTCCATAGTTGCACCATGGATCTGTTAGTAATAGTCTAATTGCCTTGAAACAGGGTGGTATAAAGATATACCATTTGTTTCATATGGAAAAATAATGTTTATATCACTGGTAGATATTATTAACATGTTATTTCAACAGGACAGTGCTCGACCAGACAAGAGCCTTAGCACCTGTAACATACTTGATGAAATATCCTCCAATCAGTCAGTGGAGTCGACAGAGAGGTCCAATCAGCTGGCCGACACATTCTCCAGACATTACACTTATGGATTCTTTATGTTTCTTCACAAAGGACTTGGTTTATGCTAATAAGGTTCCAAGTAAGAAAGAACTGTGTCTACATATCCAAGAAGTCGTCACAACAGTTACTCCTGCAATGTTGTAAAACACTTGTTAGGAGGTTGTATACAGACTGGACATTTTATGTGTAACTCATGATGAGTACGTTGAATTATGGTAACCATATGATGTTAAAAGACTAAAACATTAATTTTGCACGTGTAACAATTTATGTCTGTACCTTAAATGTTTTTCCTGGTATAATCTTTAAAAAGTACTTCCAAAATTATTGGACATCCTGAAGTTTTAATAGTATAAAAATTTTATCTGGTAAAAATGACATACATTTATTTTAACCCTATCGATACGGATCAAAGGCCATGTCATCGTATTTGTTGACTTGAATTCAAAATTTTATTGAATGACTATTTTATGAATTTACATCTATAAATTTAGTATCAAATTGTACAATTATAATTCAAATTTTAGTATTATACATTTGTTAATTTCTAAATTTAAAAGAAAATATTAAAAAAAAACTAAATAGTGATTGTTGTGTATCACATGGGATGTTGAATAAAGCACTGGTTCAAATTAGGTGTTTGTGATGTCCAAGTACAAAGTCTTAAGTTTCTTACGAATTAGGAACTCAAATTACCCATATAGACAACCTAGAATATAAAATAAGAACCTCCTATCTTTTCTATTTGCTGAGATATCACTAAATTTAATGAACCAAACACAGTGGCCCCACCCACCTCTTTTCATTTTTGGAAACACTTCCTTATGTGCACATACTTCCATCTGTGATACATGAATAACCAATTGAAAGCTCAAAATGTCCCACTAGTGGCTTTTGCAGCAAATTTGAAGTACAAGGGTGTCAGTCTTGTTTTTTTTATACAAGATTTCAAGTTGGTAAGGTAAGTCTTTAATGAGCTCGAAATTTTATATTTTTTTAGACCCAAATACATCTTAATTACAAAGCTTGATAAATTATAGTGGAATTCTATGGTACTGATATAGTAATTTATTATTTTTTGGTTATTTCAAATGTATATATAAAACACACAGCCAAGACAAGTTACTTTGTACAGACCAAAGGTAAGTTTTATGTTATTTGATATGGCAACAAGAGTGCACATGAGCCATATCTTTACAACTTCTGTAATGTTAGCCAGACATGGCTGGAAGGTCAATATAATATATATATATATATATATATAATAATAATATGAAATTTAAGCTATTTAAACTAAACATTTGTGTTTTCTTGTTATAATTTGTAGTCATTCTAGAACAAAACAAAAAGCAATATTTATATTTAATTCCTAATTTTTTATGGTGGTTGTGAGATTGATCAAATCTACCAAATCCAAACAGAGATTACTTACTGAAAATAACAAATAAAATATAAAGTTTTTTCTTAACAAACATTTGATAACTATCTGGAGGTTATAAAAACTTTTCATGTGAAATTTGAAAATTTTCTGATGCATAAAAGTATTTTTAATCTTAAAATTAAAATTACTTTGCATGTTAGATAGTCAACATTCCAAAAGAAAAAAGGCATGAGAAAAAATTACTTAAAAAATCTTATACCTTAATAAAATAAAAAAATCTGGTATCTTGCGTATGAAAGCCTTGTAATATTTACTGATAATTTGCACAATTTCATGAAGATACACTTACTAATTTAGAAGTTATAGGGTGAATATATAAGTACAAAATGGATACAAGGTTGGTCCCACAGACCAAGACCATGCTTAGAGAGTTAAGGTCTTGTCTTCATTTAATCTGATTAATTTCATATTATAAGCCTGTTGACATCTATACTCATTAATGTTGTTTACAAGGACTTTTCAATAATCCTTTAAATGAGTAAATAATTAATTACCTGTTACACAGTTAAATATAACAGTTTTCCAAAACATTTAAAAAAAAAAAGGAAATATTTCCGCAATTATATTCATTCCAGCTTTGGATTTCTTATTCACATCTAAAAATATTTAAATTAATAAACAATATCAATTTCAAACTTATATTTGGTACCAATAATTAGAGGTGAGAGACAGAAGGAAGGTAAATAGAAAAGAAAGAACAGTCATCTTCATGAGAGGCTAATGGTTGAGGAAGAATGGTCCGAGTAATGAAGTAAAGAAGTATGGTGGAATAGTGTGTGAGAAGCATCAATAAGATAGATATCTGAATAATAGCAACCACAGGCGAGAAGGAGAAGGAAGGAAGTAATAAGAGAAAGGCAGTGGAAAGAGCAATAATTGGCAATGGTGGAAACCAACAAATTATGGTTGAACAACCAAGTGAAAAGGCAGGAAGATAGGTCACAGTAGGACATCTGGGAGGAAGGAAGAGGCAAATGGACTAATAACAAAAACTTGCCAATTACATTGATAAATAGACAAAGTGAAAGGATGACAGGAATAGGATAAGAAGAAAGCTACATGATCGGAGAGTCTAGTCCTAAGGGCAATGGACCAAACAAATCCCACACGTGGACATGATGGGATGGTACCTGAATGAAAAAAGGATATGTGAGGCGGAAGCAAAAGATGGGGATACTGGGTAAAGGAAGGAGGGTCTGGACATCAATCAAAGAAGTAGAAGAAATAATCAGGACTGAGCTGGCCAAACAGGTGCCACCAGTTGGACTCAAAAAGGAGTGTTGCATACCAATGTAAGGTTCCAAGGGAGACATCAAAGAGAAAGCTAGGCATACAGTAAAAAGTAAGATAAGTCTTGGCTGAAACCATTAACAGCCACAGCCAAAGGATGAAAAACAGGGGATCAGAAGAGAGGAAGCTAGGAGTTGAGAGGAGAGACAAAGGCAACCATGAGAGGTATGTCCAACCGAGAGCAAAACCAGCAAAAAAACCCAGGGATGTAGAGACCACACCATGGGCAGAACATAGTCAGGCCAAGAGAGGTGATATACCACCAGGATCAAAGCCCCCAGTACATAACAAGTAACAAGATGAACTTGATGGAAAAGAACCCAGAAGAGGAGGTCCAATGTCTGAAAGCAGAGAGTCTTAGAACAGGTTCCTCCCAACAGGTGATATATATGAAATAATCATTGAATTGTCAGAGTGGATCATGATTAAATGATCCACTAGAAGAAGAAGGAAAGGGGAACATATTCAACAGAGAGTGAAGTTTAAGCACACTGATGGGAAGGGAATTCTTCCCGTGTCTAAGTGGCAAAAGACATGGTATCATTCAGAGATGCGCCACAACCAAGAGGGAATGACTGTGAAGAAATGAAGATCTGAGGATGGTAATGGAATGCCAATCATGGTATCTGTACAGTCTAGCCACCAAGAAAAATCCACAAGAGGAGGAGAAAGGAGGCTCACAAGAGAGGACAATGGATCCCTAAAAAGGCTCTTCTGGTCTAATCTCAGAACATTCACTGGATGAGGCACATGTGTATTTGCCCCAAAGAAATGAGTGGTTCCAGGGAAGTCCCTGAAGGCAAAATAACCTCACATGCAAGATGAAAATTAAAAGTGCAAACTACAGTGGCCAAACACTACACAGACTGCAGACAAAGAAGTAAAGGCTGAACCCAAATGAGATGAGAGTACAAAAAAATGCCCAGATGTACTAAGTTCTACATAGGTGTGAGAAAAGAAATCGAAAGTGTGACAAGTCACCCCAACGGAGCAGTCTCCTGCAGAAGAAGAGAGGTATGAGAGAAGGATATTTTCCCCAGAATAGGCAAGTAGAAGCCAATCGACCATGCAGAAATGGAAACAAAGTTATAGTCCATGAAGGTCCTCATGACTCGATGAGACATAAGGGACCAACACCTTGCCAAATGGAAAAACACATAATTGGAAGACTCAATTCTGAGGTCAAAACATAAAAAAGCTCCGACACAGCAACCACAGTTAGCAAACGAACTGGGACTGGTTTCTGTTCATTTCATGGTTCCAGATGGAGAATTTCTTTCCTCTTCACTGGTCTTTTTCCTCCAGTCTTTGAGACTACCAATAGGTGAGAGAAAAAACGTAGGGAAGAGGTGTATAGCCTCTCAATGGCATGTTTGTTCAAAAGATTCAAGACCAAATCCATGCGAAACACTGACGATAAATGGTGTCAGAGGGAAGGGAAAAGTGGAGAGAAACTGAAGTTAAAAAATGAAAAAACCTATCTGTTAGAAGAAAACTGAAACCAAAGTCAGGCAAAGGGGAAATGAGACAAATGGGCATCCATAGAGCCTGAGCTGACAAGACAGACATCAGGTAATGGGAGGATGGCTTGGAAGCTGGAATGGGAAGGGTTAGACAGATCTACCTGAGGAACAGAAGTTGAAATGCAAGGTTGAGAAAGACCAGAAATCAGGGAAGAGAGAAAGGACTGCCGATGGAATACCTTAGCCCTGGTCTCCAATGAAACCTGAACTTCACCAAAGACTTTTGGGTGAATAAATGGGGTTCAACAAAAATCCCAGATATGAAGGAAAGCAAGCATACATAAGTGAGGAGTGAGATCAGACCCAAAAATTCCCACCAGCAAAGGAATCAAAGAAGAAGGGAAAGAGCAGAAGCAGTACAGGGTAAGATGGTAAAGAAAAAGGAATAAACTTCTTTAGAAAACCCCTCTAGAGCACAATGAAGTGCCTCAGACAAAAGATGAGTAAGGATAGAGAACATAGAAGGATAGTGAGAAAAAGATGAAGACATGAAAACAGGGAACTGGAGAGCAAAACAGAGAATAAAGGGTCCACTCCCCAAGCAAGCAAAAGAGACTCTAAAGACTGTGAATCTAGGAAATAAAAGGAAGAATGGCTGTAAATCAGGACAAAAAAGTCAAGAATGTGAAGGGGGATGAACATGTAGGTGTGAGTGTGGAGGTGTTCTAAAACAAAAATCAGCATGAACCCTAATATTAAGTGAAGGAAGAAATACAAAATAATACTGAGAATGGATTTCATGGAGTAAAGAATGAGAATAATCAAAAGACACAGTCTAAAGATAAAGAAAGGAACATACCTGAAAAATCATATCTAGAAAGAGATTGGAAGGTTGAGGATTTTTCCCGACCAGTAAGATGGTACCCAAAACAAATCAAGATGAGGGAACAGTTGGTTAAATTTGTTGTCCTCCTGGTTATTCACAAACTGAGAAGAAAGGACATCAGTTAAAGGGACAGGATAAAGGAGGTCCAGTATGCATGAGAGAACCACAACATGCTGTAAATTGGCTGTAACATCCTCAATTGTTAACAAGCCTCCAGAAGCCATAGTAGAAATAGCTCCTGTGTTCTTAACTTAGGTACTTTCACAGGGCAAATTAGAAGTCACATAACTTGAGAATTCATTATGTTAAACAATGCTTTTGAAACAAAAGCAAAGGCAGAATGAAAATACAAGTTTCATTGATGATTGCAAATCTAAGTAAATTGAACAGAGACTCGAAAAAATTCAAATGTTTGTTAATGATAATGCCGAGGAAACAAATGAAGTTATTTCATGTGTAAGTGCTTAAGGGAAGTTATTGTGCATGGAGGTTGTGTTTCCTTCCTATTGGTAGAGAAATACTGTTGCATGATTATGTCATCATGCACCAGTGTAGTTCACATTCAACACGTGAATTTTAGGTGGGAGTTACTTTTCCTTATTTCTTTTGGAGGTGAAGGAGATCAGAATACACAGCAACAAATTCAGTCCATTGTGACCAGCTTAATTTTTGTTTTTACATTATTGAATGCCATCCAATTGCATTTTCTTAAAGCCGCAGTATGTAGAAAACTAAACACTAGTACAGAAACCTTATATTTCGATTTTAATCAATGATTGGTTGTTATACACAACTTACAAAATAATGTGTTTCTTCTGAAAAGTGTTCTAATTTATAGCATTACTTTAGAAAACTGTAACTAATGTTCAATCTTTATAAAATAACTATAATTATTGTGAAAAATATGAGAAGCAGGAATTTTATCAGACATCTATATACATAAAAGAGGAAGTTTATTTGTTTATTTTGTTCGCTATAGGAAACCAAATGGTTGAACTTACAAATTTTAAAATAACTTCATAATAGCCAGTTTTTTACAAGAAATTTAATGGTGCTATTTATTTTGTATTTGGTGTAGTATTTAATGATGAAATTGACAATTAATGATTATTGCGCCATTTGTTAAATAATTTTTTTGTAATAAACATAGAACAATATATGCACAACAGAAATTAAATTATGAGATGAA